ATTATTTAGACAATGCCATAGTGAAGAACTTTGGGGCTGTTTCCAATTTTTCATTATAGTTATAACCCCTATATATTTAGCCTTGTACACTTGTGTAACTCTTTCCATAGAACAAATTCCTGGAAATGGAATTTTGGAATGAACATTATATACTTTTTTTTTCTCATTATATACTTTTAAGTGTTTAATACATAAGATGCTTACTTCTAAAAAGGCTGCATTAATTTACATTTATATGAGTGCTGTTTTCTGTACATACTTTTGAGATCAATTTTAGGATTTTTTTTAAGTGTTATCTATCTGATTGATGAAAAGTATTTTATTATTGCTTTATTTTGTATTACTTAATTCTTGTTAAGGTTGAACATGTTTGTTCCTAATTTCTGTTTCTCTGGTGAATTGTCTGTTTGGGTTCTTTATTCACATTTGTATGGTTTCCTTTTCTTTTTTTGTATTAAGTCATGAATCCTTCTTACATATGGTTCTTTTTTCATAAAAGTTTTAACTGGTAGTTTTGACTTTATCATACAGAATTTTAAAATTGTAAGGTTAGTTTAACACCGCCTTTTTTTTAATTGCTTTGTTATTCATATGTGCATACAAGGCTTGGGTCATTTCTCCCCTCTGCCCCCACCCCCTCCCTTACCACCCACTCCGCCCCCTCCCTCTCCCCCCCACCCCCTCAATACCCTGCAGAAACTAGTTAATCTTTGTTAGTTAGTTAATTTAGTTAGTTAATTTTTGTTAGTTTCTTTAGTTAGTTAATCTTTGTGTGGTGGCATATGCCTATAATCCCAGCTACTCAGGAGGTAGAGACAGGAGGATCTTGGTTGGAGGACAGCTGGGCAAAGTTAGAGAGTCTCAAAAATCAACTAAGAGCTGCAGGTTAGTGCTGCTCTACCAAGGTTGCAGCCTTGCGTTCAAACTCAGTAACCTACCAAAAGTAAATAAATAAATAGAAGAAAAGTAAACATCCTTAACAAGAATTAAGTAATACAAAATAAAGCAATAACAAAATACTTTTCACCATTACAGGCACGAGCCACTGGCACCCAGCTGTTTCTGATTTTCATGCCATTTTATTGTATTTATTTATTTTTGTGGTGCTAAGGGTTGAGGTTAACAAATGCTCTACCACAACGCTACGCTCCCAACCTTCATGGTTATAGGAATATTCCCTTTTAATATTTTGTTTTTACATTTAAATCTTTTTGCATACTGTATCAAATAGAGATAGATACAGCTTCCAACACATACAGCTTGCCCTCCCTAAATAGCTAATTGTTCAAAACAACATCATTGAATAACCAGTCTTTTCCCAGCCAGTTTACAAAGCACCTTTCTCATAGAAGTGCCAGATTGCCATGTGCCTTTGGGACTATTTCTGGACTTTTATTCTGATGAATTATGTGTGTCCTGTACTAGGACCAGCATGCTCTGAGCTGATTGTACGTTTGAGTATTTTGTAGGGCAGGTCGTCCATTATTCCATTTCATAATGTTCTGGTTTTTCCCATTATTATTCTGGATGAACTTTCAAATTATTTTTTTTAATCAAGCTTCCCAAATAATTTTCTTGGGACTTAGGATTGCATGACATTTTATGGGAAAACTAACATTTTACATTGAGTCTTCTCATCTAAGAACAGGTTATTACTCTTTGCTTATTAAAATCTTATTTATTTATTCATTCATTCATTCATTTATTATTTTTGTGGTTCTGGGGATCAAACCCAGGGCCTTGAGCTTGCTAAGCAAACACTTTACCACTGAGCTACACCCTCAGTCCAGTTTTCTTTTTCTTATGTGACTCAAATGATTTTAGTTTTATTGATCAATCTAATATAGGTCTTACACATTTCTTGTCAGTTACTCCCAGATGTGTTATGGTTCTTGCTCTTATTAAGGGTTATCTCTTTCTATTAGTTTTTTTTTTCTTTCTTTCTTTTGTTTTTTTTTGCAGTGCTGGGGTTTGAACTCGAGGCCTACACCTTGAGCCACTCCACCACCAGCCCTATTTTGTGATGGGTATTTTCAAGATATGGTCTTGCAAACTATTTGCCCAGGCTGGCTTTGAACTGCGATCCTCCTGATCTGTGCCTCCTGAGTAGCTAGCATTATAGGTGTGAGCCACCAGTGCCTGGCAGTTTTCTGATATTCTGATTTTTTATATTTTGTTCCTCTGTGTCCAGCTCATCTGTCTTGACTTGTTTCTTTTCTTTTTCTTTCTCTAGCCCAGGCTGGCCTCAAACTTGATGTATTCCTGCATCTGCCTCCCAAGTGCTGGGATTGGGTTGGCAGAGTGGCTCAAGCAGTACAGCACTTGTCTAGCAGACATGAGGTCCTGAGTTCAAACCCCAGTACCACCAAACAAACAAACAAAAAGCAAAACAAAACAAAAACCTAACCAAGTGCTGGGATTATAGGCATGTGCCACTACTGTACAGTCTCCCAAATTGTCATCAATTTATTTCTAGTATCTTCTAAATTTCATAAATCTACATCCCACTATCATCTTCTTTCACCATCTGTATAATACTACACTATTTCTTATTTGCTTATTTTTTTCCTTAACTGAATTCAATCAAAATAAACTTGAGCCAAGCACAGTGGTACACACCTATAGTCTCAGCTACTTGGTGGCAAGATGGCTTCAATCCAGGAATTGAAGACAGTCTGGGCAACACAGTGAGACCCCATCTCAAAAATAAATTAAACAAACAAAAATTTAGCCTGAACTTGTGTAGTAACAGACATGAAATAACAAGTAGTTTGATGTGCTAGTTATAATTTTTCTACTACAAATAAAAACAAATGCAAAAGTATTAAAATTTTTTTAATGTTCTTTATATCACTTAAAAAACATCTCTTGTATCATCCATCACACTTTTGGAAACTATTCTAGTAAACAGTTTCCAAACCTTCCAACTTGAATATTCACCATTGCTTTGCAATCAGTGTTCTTCCTTCAAAATCACTCTAAACCTCCTTCCCCCTTTTTTGGATGATACTAGGGTTTGAGCTCAGGACCCTGAGCTAAGTAAGCAGTTCTATCACTTGAGCCGTCCTCCAGCCCTTTTGCTTTATTTTTTCAGATAAGGTCTGAGTTTTTGCCTAGGCTGGCCTCAATCTATGATCCTCCTACCCACACCTCCTGAGTAGCTGGGATTACAGACTTGACCACCACCACCTATCTTGTTTGTTGAAATGGAATCTCACCAACTTTTGCCCAGGCCTCAAACCTTCATCTTCCCAATCTCTGCCTCCCAAGTGATCAAGCCTCCGTTTCTTGCCATTTCTCCCAACCACCACAGTTACAAACGGGATTCATCCCCATCCTGAGGGTGTTTTCCTGCCTGCATCTTGCTGGACTATCCCTTGTCCTCCACCCTCTCACATAGATCACCTCTCAGCAGGATTCTTCTGGATTCCTTCCTGAGGACCAGCATCTTACTTTAAAAACTTGCCTCATCATGGCTGGACTTTTTTTTTTTTTTTTTTGGGTGGGTGGGGATTGGGGTGTGAACTTAAGGCTTTGTGCTTGCAAAGCAGGCATTCTACCACTTGAGCCATATCTCCAGTTCATTTTGCTCTAGATACTTTGGAGATGGGGATCTCTAGAACCAGGCTGGCCTCAAACCATGATCCTCCTGATCTTAGCCTGCAAAGTACAGGTGTGGTCCACTGGTGCCGGCATGGCTGGACTCCTTACTGCCCCTTCTGCACCAAACCTTACCTGTTCTTTCTCATTTTCCTTCCTTCCTTCCCTCCCTCCCTTCCCTCTTTTCCCCTTCTCTTTCCTGCTGGGGACCAAATCCAGGGCCTTGCACAGGCTAGTCTAGCACTCTACCACTGAGCTATACCCTTTAGCCTTCTTACCTCTTACCTGTCCTTTTAGGCTCTCCCTCTCTCTCTCTCTCTCTCCTGCTGCACTATCCACTTGTGACTTGGGTCTGGGAATTTCAGCTCCTAGAGTACACTACAAGGTCAACTGAGGGCAAACTTCAGGTTCAAACATTCCTTCCCAATCAGTGTATCACTAAGAACATGACAGATACTCAATAAACACTTAGTGATCTATTTCATTGCATGCTGGCATTCCCAAACACTTACCTCAAACTCTCCCTCTCCCTGTGATTGGCCACAGCTGTTACCCCTCCCCACACACCCTTCAACTACCACCTACCCAGGGCAACACTGAAAAGGAATCAAGTGAAAATACAAGAAGCCAACTCTAGGATCATTAGTCTTTTAATACATTATTCGGAAAAGAAAGGAATTAAAAAAAAGTTCCTGACAGCTCTTTTGTTTTTGTTTTTTAATTTAAATAAATACCCTGCCCACCCTCCACCCACTAAAATTTCCCTCCTTCCCCATCATCCCGCCCATCCCTGGCTAGACCCTTACCCCAAAACTAAATAAGATGCCTGTTTAGAGCAGGCCACGCTCACTACCAAATTCTGGCAAAATTGTAAATACTGTAAGTAGTCTGCAGCCCTCAGCTGCTTGTGCCCCTCCCTTCTGACTCCACTTCCCCAAGAGACCCATCCCTGGCTTTGGGTGGGCATGGATGGCAGGGGCCTTTAGGCACTGGCGTTGGAGAGAGTGCAAACTTGGCCTCTATTCTCCACTCCCTGCTCAGGAGTAGGTCAGAAGGGCCCAGAATTGCCCTCCAGACTGAAATAAATAACAAAATAAATACCCATCCCTACTCCCGGCTCTCAATACAAGAGCTGCTGCCCCTTTCACTCTAGTCCCACTCTTCCAGTTTGACCCACCCGCTTCTTCCTTCAACCCTTCCCTCTTTCCCCATGCTGACCTCCACCTTGGCCTTTATCCTCTTAAGAAAAGAGGATCCCCCCACCCCCGAACAACAAGCAAACCCCTCTCCCCCAAATTTCTTGGGGGAGGGTACTGCTGGCACTCCAAGCACGGATAGGGCCTGGCAGGTTCCCCATTTCTACAGGCTAGGGTGGGAGGGATCAGGATTCTCCCTGGTGCTCTCCCCGTCCTCTGTCTCTCAAGGCAAGTCTTACGGAGAGCCGGGTAGGCCCCTTCCCCTCCCAGTCCAGGTGTCCCGGCCGCCCCGCCCTCCTCAGATGGCAGTGTCCCAAAGGACGGTGTGCTGCCGGCGGCAGGGCGGGGTGCCGGACTTGCGGGGCTCGGGTCCCCGCCGCCAGCTGGGAAGGATGGGCATGCTCTCCTGCTTGCAGAGGCCGCGGTCGGGGCGGTGGCGTGCCTTGATCTCTTTGCACACGCAGCGCTTGCGTTCGATCACCTCCAGGAGCTTGCCGTCGCGCTCGCGGGCCGGCGGCGGGGGCAGGGCCAGCGGCAGCGGCAGCGGCAGTGCGGGGTGGATCTGTGCCAGCAGAAAGGAAAATATGGGGTCCTTGAGGGGGGCTCAAGGACTCTGCAGAGACAAATTCTCCTCGCTCCCTGACTGTCTTCTCCCTTTGGCTGTGGGTGTGTGAATGGAACAGAAACTCAGACCCTGTAGCCATGGTCCGGCCATGCACCCTGGTGCCAGCCTGGGCCCCACCCTGAGAAAGGGATCCTTTTAAAAAGTCATCTTTCCAGACATGCATTTTTCTATTGGTCTTCTTAGAAGGTCCTTTTCTTTAAGTCGCTCAAAGGTGCAGTGGGGGCTAGTGGCAGCCCCCACTGGATGCATTGCCAAACCCTGTTCCTCATTTCTTCTTTCTTTTCTTTTCTTTTTTTTTTTTTGTGGTACTGGGGTTTGAGCTCAGGGCCTACCTCTTCAGCCACTCCACCAACCCTCCTTTTTTTGTGATGGGTTTTTTTGAGATAGGGTCTTGTGAACTATTTGCCCTAGCTGGCTTTGAACCTCAATCCTCCTGATCTCTGCCTCCTGAGTTGCTAGAACTACAGGCATGAACCACAGGCTTGAGGCCCTGCTGTTAATCTTAAACAGCCCCAGCTGGGAAGCCACCTCTAATCTTCTCACCCTTAGTCCCAAGTCCCCATTAAATCTGTGCCAACCACTGGACTGACTCAGAGCCTGCCCTTCCTGAAGTCCCCTCCTCCTCCCCACTTTTTTTTTTCTTTTCCTTTTTCTTTCTTTTTTTTTTTTTTTGGAAACAAGATCTCTCTATTGTAGTCCAGGCTACAATGAATCAATAAATTCACCATCCTTTTTCCTCAGCCTCCCAAATGTTGGGATTATAGATATGCACCACCATGTTCTGCTTTTTTACTTTCCACACCCAAGTCTTCTTTTCTATCTGCTCCTTTACAGAGAAGAGAAGGATCAAGCCTCACCTGGCTCAGGACATCCCTGGGCTGGCTGCAGGGCCGGGGGGTATGGAGCGCGGCCTGCCGGACTCCGGAGGTGGAGGCAGAACGCCCCAGGCGGTAGCCTCCTGTGAAGTCTGAAACGGATGAATCAGAAATGAAGAGAAGGACCTACAGGTGACCCTCACCCAGTTCCCTGAGGAGACCACAGCCAATCTTGCCTCCAGGCTCATCAGAGGAAGGAAAGGGATGGAGATCTGGTGTTAAGATTTAGGGACCTGGACTGGGGATGTAGCTCCGTGGTAGAGCACTTGCCTAGCATGCATGAGGTCCTGGGTTCTAATTCCAGCATCCTGGGATAGGGAGATTTAGGGATGTGGACATGGAACAGCTTATGGGTCAAGATAAGCCATACTGGACCCTAAAAGATGCCTCCCAGCCCTCTCCATTTCTATACAGAGTACATGGGTAGGGTGTCACCTCCATTGCGGTGGCAGGCAGGGAAGGTCTGGCAGGGTACAGGCAGCGCCGTGCGACTCCCTCCTCTATTGTGGTGGATCCTGGCCAGCAGGCCCTCTGCCCCCTGGCTCCTCACAGGGATCCCTGATGCCATAGGGCCCCTGTCCTCACACTCCGCCTTGCCTGGACCCTCAGCACTGCCATTCCAGGCTCGGGCACCATCCTCGACCTCTGCTAGGATGACAAAGAGAGTTCAGTGTCTGCATGCTGGAGGGGTCCTTCTGTCCTACCAGCCACATACAATTCAGTATGGATGGCCCCTTTGCAAAGCACAGCAGGAGAGGTACCTTACTTCTCTCTTCAACACACACACACACAAACACACACACAAGAGGGACCCAGCCCTGCCACCTTTCTTTCCACCCATTGGTACCATCCCCTGGAATTGAGAATCATATGTATTTGCTGCCTCCTAACCCTTTTTTCCTGGTCAGAGGGGCCTCTTCTACCCCAGCTGTAGCTTCTGAGCCCTTTCAGTTCCAGACAGGGCAAGAACGGACACTAAGAAACAGGAATGCTGTCCCCACTAGGGAGAGAACTCCAAATGCTGAGCCCGGAAAGGGGGAGCATGGCAGGGGGCGGGGGGCATGCATGTGAACTAAGCTCATCTCTGAGTAGGCCTGGCAGAGCATTGCGTTGCCAGGCAACGGTAGGGGCCTCCCTCCTGTCTGGATGGGTTGCCATGGCAATAGCTGGGAGGCAGCTGTGTTTAGCTCCTAGTGTGCGCACACTCACAAACACACACCCCTGCAGCCCAGGGAAGGGAGGGGCAGGGAGTGGAGCAGGACAGGGCCAGATTCTACCCGTTCTATCCCAGATCTTCCTGTCCCTCCAGCACACTCACAGGGACCCCACCCCTTCATTCTGCTGCCTACTATTTTTCTGATCTCCTAGAAAACTCCACAGTCCAGGACAATGGGCCATGGCTCCCAAATAACCTCTCCAACAACTCCCCCAAACCATCACCAACATCCTTAGGTTCCCCCACACCCCCATTCCCCATCCCTCACTCACTGTCCAGCTCCTTTGCCTTCCTCCCTCCATATAGGACCTTCCTCTGCAGAGCCCAGCCTGCCCCAAATGTGGCACCCATCTCCTTTTCTTCCTCCTCTGGTGTCCCTGCACTGGTGATGACATGGGCGCAGGAGATGCTGGCAAAGGCACCCCCATCAGTCCCTTGCTCCTGCAGCTGGATCTTGACCATAGGGGATGAAGCCCCTACTCCACAGCCCTTATTCAGCACCCCCCCAACCTTGAGACTCTCATAGGCAGGGGGTCTCTTGATCCCAGCTGCTGCAGCTGGGTAGGTCCAGAGAGGGGTCAGGGGGCCTGCAGTTGGGTCCGGAAGGCTGTGGGGGGAAGCCAGGCAGCCGCGGTGGTGGAGGACTCCAGCTGTTGTGCCCATGGCCCCGCTGTGGGGGCTGGACTTCCCTGGCACAGGGGGCCTGGTCGAGCTGGTGCACAGCATCCCATGGAGAACTGAGATCTCCTTTTCCGTCTTTGGCTCCCCAACACCCAGGGGTGGACCAGTTGGCAGGACGGAGTGCGTGGTCACCTTGACTGCCGAGTACACCATGGTGTAAGACACGGCCTTGTCCTTTGGGGGCCCAGGGAGCAAGGCAGCTGGGACAGGGGGGGCTGCCGGCGCCCCCACCACCTTGGGGCAGATCATGCTGTGGGAGTTAGGGAGCTCCCGCTCTCCCCGAGGCTGGCCAGAGCCCTGGGGTGGCAATGGTGTTGAGTGGCTCCGGGCTCGGCCGGATGGTCCCAGCAGCAGCAGGTTGGCAGCAGGAGGCGGAGGCGGTGGGGGAGGCGTCTCCCGCTCTCGTGCAGGCACTTGGGGAGCTGGGGTGGAACCTGATGGCTCCTTTGAGTGGCAGAGGACCGGTAACCTCGAGACCCCATCGCCAGGGGTTCGGGAAGCAGACTTGGCTTGGGGGAAGGCCAGGAGTGGAGGCCGGTGCTGAAGGAGGTTGGGGAAAGGTGGGGGGATTTCACAAGGAATGGTCTTGGTAGGCGTCCCATCCCTCCGGCTTGGGAGGGCTGAAGCTGGACGGCGGTGGGCATGGGTCTGCAAAGCGTGAGGCTGGTGTGGAGGGGAGGTTGCCATCAATGAAGGGGCCCCGTTGGCCCGGCCTTCTCCTGCCTCTTCAGGTAGCGGGTACTTCATCTCCTCATATATGGCCTCACTGTCTTCAGAGTCCGAGTCGGCACCAGCTGTAGGGGTTGGGCCCCCACCCCCAAGAGGGGGTCCTGTCAAGCCCCCTCCACTTCGTCCTCCTCCCTTGAATACATCTCCCACCATCTCAATGTACACAGGCTCTTCTTCTTGGGCACCAGCATCAGGGTCCCCAGCTACTCGGGACCCCCTACTCAGGCGCTGTAGGGGCAGGTTCCCCCCTCGAGGAGAGGGGGCTGAGGGGTAGGACTCATCAAAGGAGACTGAGAGCTGGGTGTTGGGACTTCGCCTGGGCTTCTGTGGAGGAACTTTCCGGCTGGACTCTCGGCCCTCTGGGGTTGGCTTCTGTGAGCCTAAACAGGACAGGAAAAAGAAAAATAAACCAAGTTTTTTTTGGTTTTTGTTTTTTTCCAGTACTGGAGTTTGAACTCAGGGACTACACCTTGAGCCCTATTTTGTGATGGGTTTTTTTCAAGATAGGTTGGCGAGAAATATTTGCCCAGGCTGGCTTTGAATTGTGATTCTTCTGATTTCTGCTTCTTGAGTAGCTAGGATTACAGGTGTGAGCCACCCAGTTCCCAGCTAACCCAAGCTTTTAATGGGAGACGGAAATGGGAAGGATTCCTTTTTACCTCTTGACCCATCTGCAAGGACGCATCTCTGCCTTTTCACTTTTTCCACACCCCTCAACTTAATAATAGCCTTAGTAGATTCCTTTTCTACCAGGTAGCTTTCAGTTTTTCTGTTGTATACCTTCTAGAACCCACAGCTCCTACCCTAAATTCTTTCCCATCTTTGTGTCCCTCCAAGGCCACCAGCCTTTCCTAAGAACAGTGTTTTAGGGACTATCTCTTGCCCTTGAATGGTTCATCTGAGGTTCATCCAAAAGGAACCCCCTATTCCTTTTTGGAATGGAAATTTCCATCCACTTCCTTGGCTCTTCCCTGAGTGAACCCTCCCGGAAGCCTCCCCTGGCCTGAAATGGCTCCTCCCAGCCCCTAGCTCCCACTGGGTAAGGGGTAGGGGTGTCTCACCTGCTTTTTTGCTGGGGGGTGTCTCTGCCCCTGATCCTGCTATGCTGAGCTTGGTGCTGGGATGTCTCCGGGGCTTGGCTGGGGGTCTTCGGGTGCTGCTGTCCTCTGTGAGACCCCCACCACTCCCACCAGGCCCACCCCCCACACTGTCCATGCTGCCCACCGAGTGGCAGGAGAGGGAGCGTGGAGCCATGGCGCTGCGGCAGGGGTGGGGGGTGTGCTCCTGGGAGGCGGGCATCGTCATAAAGCCCATCCTGAGGGAGCGGCGCAGCGAGGCGATGTCTCGAACTCGGACCCCAGGCCCTGGGCCAGCCCCGGGCCCTGCTGGGCCTGCAGGGACCACGTCCTTACTGGAGCTGGGGAAAGAAGAGCCAAGTGGAGCAGAGGTCAGGTGACGTCAGACCACCTTGGCCTACCCCTCCTGCACCCCAAAAGGAGGTGGCCCTCCTCAGGCCCTTTGGCAATCCTGTGGCCTCCCAGGAGGAGAAAGGGAGCCTGAGGTGGGGACACTTAAAGGTCTAAGGCAGGGATGCTGAGGCTCTGGGCATAATTCCTAGGCCTGGGATTGGTAGATCCCAGCCTGGGCATTCAGCCTGGTATGGGGAGGGAGATGCAAATGTAGGCAACAGCTGTCTGAAAGACCATCAGACACACCAGTTCCTCTCATTCTTACACTGACCCATGCCTGGGCTCTGGCCTTCCCTCATGTCCAGCTACGTGGGTCTCCACCCCCACACACACCTCCTCTCCTAGATGCAGGGTGTGCTGCCTGCATAGCCAGAGCAGCCACCCCCAGCTGATCCTTTTTCCTTCCTTCCTCCCTCTCCTTCAGTACTGTCCTCTCTGTCAGCCTCCCCAGCTCACCCCCATTCTCTTTCACTGTCTCTGGGCTCCTGGGTGAGTGAAGGGGGGTGGCTGGCAAAGGAAGAGGGGAGAGCTGCTGTGGGGTGGGCTCTCATTAAGGCCCTGTCTACTAACCCTTCATTAGGGAGAGATCGCTTGTAGCGATCGCTCTGATTAATCTAATTAACAAGAATTAAACTCCACAGTTGTGAGGAGGGAAAAGGGAGCTGGGAGGTGGCTCTGACTCAGGCTCCAAGAGGCTATGCAGTCAATGGAAAGGAAAGAGCAGAAGGACGGGGGATGAGAGAGGCCAGGCTTGGGTCCCTGGGAGGATGAGGAAAGAGAGCCAGCAGGAATGTAGGAGTGGGGAGTCGGGGGATCCCCAACCTTGGCTCCTCTGTAAGGCCTAGTCTGCAAGTCCCCCACCATACAATACAACCTTATCACTTGGTCACTCACCTCTCCCAGCAAGAGGCTGGGAAGAGACCAATGGATGTTTTCTGAGGCCCCTGAAATGGCCCTTGTCCCTGAACCTTGTGAAGGCAGTGGAGCCTGCCCCTTCCAAAGTCAGGTGACAGGGAAGCCAGCAGCCAAACCCAAAATGACAGAAAACAGAACACAGACCAGAGGTGAGTCAGGAAGGAGTGACTCGGGTTCTTAGAGATAGGGAAGAGCCAACTGGGGGTGCTCTAGATTGAGAAGCCCCCCAGGAGGCCAGGAGCAGAGCCCTGACCTAGTGTGTACAATTCCAGTCATTCTGTACTGAGCACAGAGTTTGAGATCAGAGATCTCACTGATAAAAAGGCTGTTGAACCCCAGGAGGGGCTGTGGTCCAGCAATGTGGCAGGTACAGGTGGGACAGGCAAGGGGGCAGACTGGAGCCAAGCCTTACCTCCTCTTGGCTTCTTCTTCCTTGTGCTGTCTCCACTCCAGCTTGGTTTTTCGGTAGAGGAGGTTCATGTCGTGGGGCAGGAGGTGGGGGCTGGGGGGCCCTGCTCAGCGCCACCAGGCCCGGGGGGCGGCCCTCCCTGGGTCCCGGATCCACTTGGTGAGTGAGGGGTAGGTAAGGAGAAAAAGGAAGATACGGGGATGGGTGGGGTCCAGGAATGAATGAAAGAGAGAAAAAAGGAGCAGAGACATGACTTGGGTCCTCAGACAGGAAAACACAGGCACAGAAAACCCAACATAGCCTCTTGGACCCCCAGACAGACAAATATAGACATGCTTGTATACAAAGAGTCAGACATCCTGACAAAGGTGTTCAGAGCCACACACTCTGGAGAGATCAGATTGACACAGATTCCCATCCTGTGTAAATACATCTTGATCCACCACACAGACAGGCCCCATGAACGTATAGCAATCCCAAATCCACACAAGCACACACATTCAGACACACAAACCACCCAATCACAGACCCATATCTATAAACAGAAGACCAGACACATAGGCATAGGTAAACACAAACCCAGAAACAGAAAACACACACAGATATAAACACCCCATTGACACACCCACAGACACACACAGACCTCTACACACACACAAATCTACAGAACTGGCTGGACACACCTACAGACAAGGAGTTGTGCCTAGGGCCTACTTGCGTACATTGCACCCCGCTAGGAAAGGGGGAGATGGTCAGACTTGCCACTCTTTTCTTAGGCCCTGAGGCTTGGTGGGGGGTCACGAGGGCAGGGTGGAGAAGCTGAGGCACGGGGGCTGGGGGGGCTGGCTGAGTTTGGGCATCTAAAATCCCACCCATCCATCTATTCAATCCCTTGACGTTCCCCCTTTTCCAGTCCTTCTGGGCCTGGGCCTCTGTCCACCCCTATTCCAGTTCCTTGGCCCCTCAGCAATGATCTCCACCTCCCTGCCTCGCTGATGGCCCAAATCACCTTCTTCCTCCTCCAGGATTTGGGAGAACCCGGGTTTCCCCCTCCAAGTCCCACCCCTGAATCCCACCCGGAGGGGGGGTCTCCAGCCTGGCCCCACAGCAACCTTCTGAGCTGCGGCCTCCATACCTGCTCTGACGTCCCTTCCCCCAAACACACACTCTCCCTTTCGCCTTCAGCTTCACGTCTCCTCCCAGGCGCCCCTCCTCACGGCCGTCCTCCTCCTTCCCCTGTTTATTCCAAACCTGGCCTGCTTCATCCCCCTTTCCATCCTAGGGCCCCAGGTTTCCGGACACCCCTCCTCTTCTCCTTGTTCTGTTACCCTGGGTTTCTCCGCCTCTCGCCCCGCCAATCCTCCCTTGCCCCTTGTCCCCTCACCACTGCTTCCCCGCACCAAGCCTCCCCAATTTCTACATCCCCGTACCTGGCCTGCCGGGCGCCGGCCCCCCCATGCCGGGCTCCGCCCGGAGCAGGAGGAGGGAGGAGGAGAGACAGAGAGACCGGGGGGGAGCTGAGCTGGCCCTGCCGCAGAGACAGCCCCGCCTCCGGGTCCGCCCCCAGACCCGCCCCCGGCCCCAAACCCACCCTTCCACACCCTCCAAGGACAGAGCGGGAGCTGCTGCGCCGCGGTGCGCCGCTGGGCTGGGGGTATGGGAGGGGGTGTCCAGGGGCCGCGGATCCTGCAGGGCAGATAAGAAGGAAAGTCAAGGGGCGGCGGAATCCGGCGCCAGCCCGTCCCCACCTTGGGGCATCCGATCCTCGCCGCCCCGCGCCCCCTGCCTGGCTGGGCCGTGCTGGGTTGGGTCTCCGAGACCCCGGCGGAGCGGGGCGCAGTGGCGCCCCCCAGCGGCAGCCAGGAACCCGCACCCACCCGCGATCCCCGTGCGCCCGGCGCTCCCACGTCCGCACCCGGCGTCGGGCCGGGCCCTGGCTGCGGCTGCGGGACCGTGGGTGCAATGAGACAGGGAGGCCGGCAGGGGGGTTCGCTTTTCGGGCGGAGGGGCTCCGAGAATCTGGAGCTGGGAGACCGGCTACACTGCCCAGCAGGGGGCGTTGCTCCTTTAGCCGCGCCCCCTTGTCCCCGCCGCCCCCCAGGTGCGGGTAGGGCCCGGGAGTTGGCTTGGCTTGGTGCTAAGCCTCCTCCCCCTGCAGCCTCCCAGGCGCCCGGACCTTGTTCTACCGTCTGGGCTCAAAGTCTTCCTCACGTCCGCCCCCGCGGCCCAAGTCATCCTCCTCTAACCTTTGACTCCATTGGCGCCGCCCGCCAAGACCTGGGCGGACCGGGGTTGGCCTCGAACTAGGGACCACCGCGACCACCGCCTGGGTGTAGTCCGGGGTGGCAGAAGGACACAACCTCGTTCCTCGTTCCCCCCTCTCCCCTTGACCTCTCTCATCAGCTCCCTGAGAAATTCCTCCTTTCGAAATCCTTTTGGCCCAAAGCTCCTTTTGGCGCAAGAAGACCTCGGTTATAGCCTTAACTGACTAAAAAAAAAAAAGGAGGTGGGGAGTTACGCATGTTCTAATCCCTGGAACCTGTAAATGCTACTCTATATGGCAGTCTTTGCAGACGTGCTGTGTGGCCTTAGGCAAATCGCATTAAGTATGAGCGATGCCTCATCCCATCCCATACCTACCTCAATAACGTTGCTAGGAAGGAAGGGGCTTGCAAGCACTTTAAAAGTCAGGGCCCTACATATTAAAAGCTCCTAGAAGATGTAATACACTGAAATACTTTCCTCCTTTCGCTTTCACATTACACCTTAGTGTGAATTAATTTCTACATATTCATTCAACAAGCATTTCTGCAGAGACCCACAATATCCCAGGCACTCTAAACAGTAAGTCCATGATGATGCCAAGTGTCTGAGGCAGATAAAGGGAGATCCAAAAGTTCTTTTTGAATATGAAGTAGGGTTGGGAATGGAGCACCGGGGGCTGTGTGTGTTCAGAATGTTGTCAGAGGGGTGAGGGACCAGGTGTAGAGGGGAAAGCTGTTTCCTGGACTTCAGGACCTGGTCTCTGGCAACCACTGTTACTATGGCTAAAGAGAAACAGGCAGGAGTGTGGATGTATTTTAATAAAGAGATAAAGAACAGGCATATAAAGGGGGGGGCGTTGCATTGTTTTACTTTTGCCTAACCCCAGAGTGGTTAGAAATTTCCATGAGCTAAAGTAGAGGGAGGGGAGAAAAGAGAACAGGAGACCAGAAGCCCCATTATTGTCCCGGGTGCCATCAAACGCTAGCACTGTGGTCTTGGCAAATTATAGAATGCCTCTGAGCCTCAGTTTCCTCAATTGGAGCTCCGCACCTACCCCATCTCTCTTCCTCATGAGATAACAAATGAGTACTTTTTAATATACTTGAGAACTGTTCCATTTGACTAAAATTAGTTAGAATCTGTTCCCTCCTCAACCTGGGAGTGAGGGCAGATGCAGCCTATAGATCCTGCTTTGGCTAAAAGAATCCTCAAAATGTGCCAAAAAAGAGAAAAATGGCATTTGGAAACTTGTTTTCTCATGCTAATCACAGGGAAACAGACCTTTTATGAGAGTGCATGGATTATTCTGTATAAAGCCATGGACAGGATGGGCAGTGTGGGAAGGATCAGGGTGGGGGAGGGTTCCATGCTTGTGACCAGCTGGGTTTAGTCCTCAGGTACACCTGTGTGGATTACTGTGTGGATTACAAACGTGTGTGTGCAGCAGTTAGAAAGAAACTGGGTTAGCACCTTTGTCTGCATCTGCAGGTCTTTTTTTTTTTTTTTTTTTTGGCGATACTGGGGTTTGAACTCAGGTCCTCACTCTTTATTTATTTGCGGTACTGGGGTTTGAACTCAGGGTCTTCACCTTTAGCCACTCTGCCAGCCCTTTTTGTGATAGATTTTTTTTGATATAGGGTCTCCTGAACTATTTGCCCTGGCTGGCTTCGAACCGCCATCCTCCTGATCTGTGTCTCTTGAGTAGCTAGGATTACAGGCATGAACTACCAGCACCCCACGGGTCCTCACTCTTGCTAGACAGGTGCTCTATCACTTAAAAGACTCCACCAGCACTGCCACCCCTTTTTTTTTTTGTCTGCATGTCTTCATATGTATCTGTATTGAGACCAGACAAGGACACATGTTAAATATGAATAATATCAGTCTTTTAAATTTCCTGGTCTTAATGTCCACAAGATGACTACTATGATGTTGGAGATTTTGATTTCAAAAACTGTAGCAAGAAAATCCAAGAGAAGATATTGGGAGATACGAATGAAACACCATTTGTGGTTATGAGTTGATAATTGTTCCAAGTACAGGAATTCATTGTACTATTTTTCACTACTTTGGGGGCATGTTTGAAAAGTGTCATCTGTTTTAAAAGAAGGTGTGGGGAGGGGAATGATAGTAACTTTCCCGTGCAGTTCCCATGAAAACCAGAGACGCTATGATAATGACAGCACCAGCACCGTAACATTTTCTAGGCTCTTATGGCCAACGAGGACATGCCTGGCACCTTCCTTCTGACTCTTGACTTCAAGTCTTCAGGCCAATGGTAGTAAGCGCCTACAAGTTAGGGAATCCCTGCCCTCCCGCAGGCTCCTCCCTCTTTTTTCTCCGCCTCCTACGGCCCCTCCCCTTGCAGGAGAGGCGGCTGGGGCCCAGCAGGTGTGGGGTTAAGGCAGCCTGTTTGGGGCCCCAGCCGCGCAGCAGCAGCAGCACCAGCAGCAACTGCACAGCAGCGGCTGTGGCAGGCCTGGCGCTGGGCCAGCTGGCACGGAGCCCCAGGAGGGAGGAGGGAGGAGGAAGAGGGGAAGGAGGAGGAGGAGGAGGAGAGGAGCAGTGAGCAGGCCCGAGGAGGCAGGACTTCCTGGTGTGGGGGTTGTCAACAGCCCAGAAAGAGAAAGACAAGAGAGACAGAGACGGAGAGGAGCTGAGAAGCACTGAGACAGATTGGACGGGGCCACGCGGGAGGAGCCTTGGGATTCTCACTTGCTGGGACCGCCGAGACCAGCTGCCACCTGGAACATCGGGGGGCTGAGCCGCCCCCCTCTCACAGCAGCTGAAAGTCCCGTGGGGTGCAGAGGCCGCGCTTGGGCGCCACTGTGTAGGCGCGGGTTCTTTTTCTTCTGGACAGCAAAGTTTCCACGGAGATGCCTCGTAGGGTGAGGTGCGCTCCCCTGAGAGCACCGGGCAGCCCCTGATCGCTGTTTGCGTGGCCCACAACTGCTCGGGGCCAGAAGGCCCCAGGAAACGAACAGCCGGACCCCGGCTTAACTCTGGTGGCCGAGATCCTGAGAGGTAGGACTGGGGGGGAGAATGGGGGTTGGGCGGAGTGCTCCATGGGCGGGTAGTTCCTGCACCAGGGATGGGGGAGCCAGGGTGCTGGGAACCTCGAGGCCCCAGCAGAGTCCCCTGGGTGGCCTGGCCAGGAGAGGAGTCGCTTCACCCTGGTTTGCCCAGGCCCTGGAGTCCGGTGGTGCTCTCATGACAATTCTGTTCTGGGACATTGAATCACAGGCAAGAAATGCCCAACTTTGGGTCAGAGCTGCCCCTTCCTGTTCTGTGTGCCCTCTAGGTCTTGATCTCCCTGCTCTGGTGTCTGTCATCTCTTGCTTGTCTCTTTGTCTCTGGGTCTCTGGTGGTTTCCCCTTCCTCCCCTATTCTGCTCCCCAGAGAGGAAGCCCCAGAGGTAGCCTGCCCACTGCTTTCTGTCTCTCTCTCACACACACCTCTCTCTCTCTTTCTAGTTTGCAAACTCAGCTCTGGATTTCGGCAGCGACAGCAGCAGGAAAAACCTGCCCCTGCCCCCCCATCCTGCCACCTCCCATCCCCTGTTCTGTCACCAACCAGACACCCCTAGTTCCCTCAAAGCCCTCCTGCCATGTCAGATCCAGACGTTGCCAGGGGCCCTGATGCCCCCGCCATGTGGCCTCCCTGTTCCAGGGGTGCCTGAGCCCTTTCCAGGACCCCAGCCCCTCCCCCACCCCGGCCCAGTCCTGAGTCCCAGGGACCATGAGTGGGGGCAAGAAGAAGAGTAGTTTCCAAATCACCAGTGTCACTACGGATTACGAGGGCCCAGGGAGTCCAGTGGCTTCAGATCCCCCAGTCCCACCAGCCCCCACTGGGCCTCCACCCCGCCTCCCCAATGGGGAGCCCAACCCTGATCCAGGGGGCAGGGGCACCCCCAGGAATGGCTCCCCTCCACCTGGGGCCCCAGCCTCCCGTTTCCGGGTGGTGAAGCTGCCCCATGGCTTGGGAGAGCCTTATCGCCGAGGCCGGTGGACGTGTGTGGATGTTTACGAGAGAGACCTGGAGCCCCCAAGTTTTGGCCGGATTTTAGAGGGAATTCGAGGGGCCTCGGGGGGCACTGGGGGAAGATCTTTGGATTCCAGATTGGAGCTGGCCAGCTTGGGCCTGGGTGCCCCTATCCCACAGTCAGGCCTGTCTCAAAGTCCCACCTCCTGGCTCCGTCCACCTCCCACCTCCCCTGGACCTCAAGCCCGCTCCTTCACAGGGGGACTGGGCCAGCTGGCAGTGCCTGGCAAGGCCAAGGTGGAGACACCCCTCCTGTCAACCTCCCCACCCCAGCAGCGCCCCCCAGAGCCTGGAACTGGGGATGGAGTGGGCACATCCCTGGCAGCCACGCCCCTGCCTTCCCTGAAGGTGGATGTGGAGGCTGGGGGCTCCACAGTGGGGACCCCTCCACTGGCCCGGAGGAAAGATGGACCTGTTCGGCTGAGAATGGAATTGGTTGCTCCAGAGGAGACAGGGCAGGTAAGAGTTGGATTCCAGGTTGGGGGAGACTCCTGGGGCGGCTGAACTTGCCATCTCAGCCTTGGCCTAAACCTGTCCTGGGCCTCCTTGCTTCCACATCCATCCTGCGTTCCCCACCTCCACTGTCAGCTGTCTATCAGGTAGGTCAGATAGCCCTTCCTTCCCCTCTGGGCCATAGAACTTTAAAGTCATTAGCTTCTTTTGTTTCCTCTCTCAGACTCCCTCTTCCCTGCGTTTTGTGCCTTCTTTCTTTCTCTTTGGCCTTTCAGTTGTTGCCTTTGGCTTTGACTCTGTTTCCATAAAGCCTGTAGCACAGATGTCCTGCTCACTTCAGCCTACCTCTTCTGCCTTAGTCTCACCCTCCCTCTGGCTCCAGGTGATGAGGGTGGAGGCCCTAGCTGGGTGGCTAGCTGGCTGGGCCCAAGGGAGGAGCTGCCAGGTTTGGGGTGACCATAAAAGGTAGGCATTCCATTGCAAGTCGTTGCTGCGTTCTGTTCTCGACTTTGGGGTCTTCATCTCCAGCAAGTGAGGTTTCTCTGAAGACCGGGAAATGGGGGGGCTAGTTTTTACCTCCCCTCCAGTCACCTATCCTAGTCTGCTGTACCTGGGCCTTTCCAAGGGTGATAGCTAGGAGTGACTGCACCTCCATGGAGAGAGGTTGGAAGCAGGAGGGAAGGGGTTAAATTTTCTGCCCGCTGTCTCTGCTTCCTGTCTCCAAAAGAGGAACAAGTCTGGGCTGGGGGCAGGATGGCTGGGTCCCTGGGGTTGGGGGTGGGCATCCAGGGATATGAAGGTTGGATGCTTCTGCCCTGAAGGAGAAAATAACACCTTGGCTGTTGAAGGAAGGCGGGCAGTATGAGGATGAGGGCTGTTCCCCCTTCCTGGCCAGGGGCACAAACCACAGTATAAAAATATCCTGAGCCTGGATGTCTGGACCCTGTCAGGACCGGTCAGGACCGGCTGTCTCACCCACTCCTGGCCTCCGTTCCCATCTCATGACCCCCGCCCCCCCACTTTTCTGGAGCACTTTCAGTCCCTCCTACTCTAGAGAAGAAGTTGCAGTTCCCTAGTTCCTGTCCCCAGACCCTATCAGAGCAAGCCCCCTTTGCCACCGGTCTCTCTGCTCTAGCTTTAATTCCCTTCCTGGGCCTCCCTTGGGTCCGATGACACCCTGTCCCTTTCACAGCAGTGCCCCCGACCCCCCTTCCTTCCGCCCAGCATGTCCTGATCGCTTCCTGTGTGCACTTAACTTTGTCACTATTTCCCTGTCTAAAAGTTTGAATACTTCTTTTTCCCTCCATGACTTATAGCAGAGGCTGGGGGAGGTTGAAGGAAGGCTGAAGCCACCACCTGGGCCCCCTTCCTCTGCTCTGTCCCTCTAACCACTCTGGACTCTCTGTTCTTGGCTTTTCCGAGAAACCGGGCCTCCCGGGGCCTCACAGAGGCGTCTTGTCTTGTTCCTGTCGCCCCCGCCCTTTTGCAGCCGCCCCCAGCGCCTGTTCGGCTGTATTGGGTCTACGCCCAGATTCCCTCTCCTCCCCCCATCTCCACTATGCCCCCCTCACCCTAAAGCAAGGCAGAGAGTGGTTGTACAAATTCACCTGAGGCTGAAGAAGTTTGAGAGGAGAATCTAGGATGGGGGTGGAGGGCTGTGGAGGACCAGTTTCTGAGGATTCATTCATTCTGCAAATAGCCCTGGAACAAATTTACCTTCTAGCAGGGGAGAGACAATAAATACTTTAATTTCACATAATATTAGGTGCTAGAAAAAAAAAAAAGTTTGGTGGACTAGTGAATGGTGGGGAAATGCTTCTCCAAGGAAGTGGCATTTGAGTGGCTTTAAAAAGGCACACAGGCCTGGGGTGCAGTGACTTATTCCTATAATTCCAGCTACTCAGGAGGCAGAGATGGGAGGATCTAGGTTGGAAGTCAGCCTGGGAAAAATGTGAGACCCCCATCTCAATTAATAAGCCAGACCTGGTGGTACACACCTGTGATGTTATGTGGGAAGTGTAAATAGGAGGATTGCAGTCTGAGGCTGGTCCCAGGCAAAAATGGGGACCCTATTTCAAAAATAACCAATTCAAAAAGAGCTGGGAGATGAAGTTAAGCAGTAGCGCCCCCTGCCTAGCAAGTTTGAAGCCCTGAGTTCAAACCCCGATAACAACCAAAAAAAAAAAAATGCACACAAATGCACTCTGAGTAGCCTCTAATTAGGGTCCCAACTGAGGACAAGTAGGTGTACCAGAATATAGACTGAGCTCCTCTAATCCACTCTGGTACCCCTCAGGATACTCACCCCCGTCCTCAGAATGATTCCCCTAGTACTTGTTCAATGCTTTCAACAGGGCTGATTCTGAGGACTTTGGGGATAGGTCCTTGGAAGAAAGTGGGGAGGTAGAGAGGGAGAAAAACTGCTAGGCAGGTTGTAAAGTGGGCGGTTTTCTCTCTCTCTTTCTCTCTTCATATATATGTATGTATATCTCCCCACCATGTGAATGAATGCTTCTCACCTCTCTGCCCCTAGGTGCCCCCGCTCGACTCTCGTCCTAACTCCCCAGCCCTCTACTTTGATGCCAGCCTGGTTCACAAGTCTCCTGATCCCTTTGGAACAGCAGCAGCCCAGAGCCTCAGCCTGGCCCGATCCATGCTGGCCATCAGTGGTCACCTGGACAGCGATGATGATAGGTAAGTGGGCTCCATCTTACCTAAACCTGTGGCAGAGCCTGAGGTTTAGGCCCCCACCCAATCCTTGGGATAACTGCGTGACACTGCCTGGCAGGTGTCCTTCCCCCAAAGTGAACTTAGGGAAGACCTCTTAAACAGAGACTTGCTCAGCATGTAACCACTGGGTGAAGTTGACTTGAGACCCACTCCCTCTCTGTGGAGAGAGTTGGGTGGGACTCCCTTTTATAGAGTTGAAAGGAGTCATTGTCAGATTCCAGAGTCCTTGCAGACTTAGACATCATCTAGCCAGTCCTAGGAACCACTGAGCATGTGTGCTAGAGACAAGAAAAGGAAATTGGTCTCTTCCCAGCTCTTTCCTTAGAATTCTCATGGACTTGACATCCTTATAGTCCACAAGACTACTTTAGGATCTGAGGACTTACATATAAGTACCGCACAGTAACCGACTGCGCCACTGGAGCACCTTTCTGAGGACTTACAGTATAAAGAAAGTGTTGCTCTAAAATGTTCCCTGAGGGGCTGTGACCAATAGAGCTAGGAGCACATGAGGGTTGTGCCCTGCCATGACAGAGCTGCCTGGCAGCAGGATGGCATAGGAGGGCAGGACTTTCTTTTTCAAGGGCCAGTTTTCCACATTCATAGGAATGTCAGCCAACTGGAAAGGGAGAAATAAAATCTTGAGTCAGTTGGGTATGCTGCTGGTTTCTGGCTATGAACTGATAGGAGCTGGGAAGAGAAGGGAGAGGGAGCCACCACTTTTATTGGGGAGAGGAGTAGGACTTCCTGTTGGAGGCCCTCAAGGGGAGGGACTTCCTGTTGTGAAGGAAATGAGGGGTGGGACTTGGTGAGTTGGGTGAGTGGGTGCTGGAGGAACCCATTCCAGATGGGAATTGCTCCTTCCTGCTTTCCCCTAGGTGGTGCCACCCCTGGAATCAGGGACTCAAAAAAAGAGGGGACCAGAGACATTTGGGAGAGTGGGGACCCACAGAAGAAGGAAAAAGGGGTGACCTGAAGCCTGTGAGATAGAGGGTGAAGACCTGGTGCCAGGCAGGGCAGAACAGGGCAGGGTGGCTGCTGAGCTCCCTCCCAGCTGGCTCCCAGGAATGCCTGAGGTGTGAGGTCGGCCAGGGCCGGCTGGAGAGTCACCTGCCTCACATCGCTGCTATTCTCAGCTCTTCCCACCCTCTCACCCTCCCATTTGGGAGGTTCCCTGGCAAGAGAGCTCCCTTGTCCCTCCTCCACCCTGTTGATTTCACAGCCCAGCTTTCTCTGTCTGAGAGGGTTCTGCCTCCAGAGGCTTCCACAGCTCCATTCTTTTGGCCTGTCCCCTCCCTCTCTCTTTCCCTCCCTCCCTCCAGTCCACCCCCTCTGCACATCCTAGTCTGACCGGTCCGGCTCCCAGCCTCCACTTTAGGTTACCCGGCTCCAAGGTTTTGGGGCTCCGGCCCAACCCAGCCCCTCATGCCCTACCCTGCTGGGCTAGTGGGTTTGGGTTGGGCTACCCCCTTCCCCTTAGGAATGGGGTGTGGAGACCCCACCTCACCAGTCTGGTGTGCCTGGAGCTGGCTGGAAATCAGGGTCCAAGTGGCATGGGACCTCCCTTTTGAGAGGAAAGGTGAGCTAGTGCACCAAGTGTCTGAATGTCATTTGGAAAACTGGGGGGATGGGGGAAGGTTACCTTATCAGTCCTTAAATTTGAGATGGGAGAACAGGGTACCTGGTGAATTTAGACTGCTCACGTGTTGCTGGTTGAAGGATATTTTGTGTCCCCTACAGGGTGGGAAGTACTTGGTTAAGGTGTGGATGGATGTCCTGACTGGGAAGATCCAGACATTATAGGGAATGGATCCTAGGGACTTGGGAAAGAAAAGATAGATTGATCATCTTCATCCAGTACCCTTCTTTGGGTCTGGTGCTGCCTCTTATCTCATGAAATCCTAAAAGCAATCCCATGATTTCCCACCTTCCAAATGAAGAAATGAAGACTCAGAAGGGTTTTAGAAACTTGCCCAATGTCATGCAGCCAGTAAATGTCTGGACTGCAGTCAGAGCCTGGGTGTGACCCCAAAGTTATGCTCTCTTCTCGGTCTTGCTTGGTTATCTGTGTCCAAAAAGAACAGGAGGTAGCAATGGTCTCCAGGATGTCCTCTCTCTAGGACAGAGCAGAGCAGGGAGGGACAGCTCACCCAAATGAGGCAAGGAGCCAGCCCCTCCCCCTCCTTGCCCTGGCCCCGCCCTCAAAGGCACCACAGATCCGGGAGAGAGTGTAGACAGGGCAGCCGGATGCCACCTTTTTGGTCTCAGGCCCAGTCCCTGAGATCAGGGCTGGCCCCTGCCCCCGGGATCTGAACCTCCTCACCTCTCCCAAATGTCCTGTGTCTTCATTTGATCATCACAGGGAAATTGTTTTATTTGACCTTTCTTTGACCAGCCTCTAGGGCTGTTCTCACCCCGGGACCCAAGAGTCTTGCAGAGCTGGAGTCCCCAGTTGTGCATGTTATACACTGCACAACTCCAGGGAATGCTGTTCACATTTGAAGTCACAGTTCATGTTTGAAGTCATGACAGTTTTCAGGAAGATAGCAGTGAGTGTCTTGAGGAAGAGGATATTTTGTTCTAATTATACAGTTGCTTTGGGGATTGTGGTCAACCCCAACTTCCTGCTCCAGACCCTGCTCAGGGATTCTAGCACAGCACCTGCAGCCCCTCACTTGAGTTCTTCAAGGGAGAATTTGGGTTGCCAGAGTCCTGGTCCCTTGAAGTGTTAAAGCTAGAATGTCACAGGGGAAGTGCTGTCAAAAACTCTCTAGCACTAGACAAACAGGAGATAGTCGTCTATCAGCCAACAAATGTTTATTGTTGTATTATTGCTTTACTTCTGTCGAGAATGAAGAACTGACTTGACATCTTTGCCTGAGTGTCTGCCAGACAGGGCCTGTGTTCCTGTTCCTGTTCTGGTGTGTCTGTCCCTCTTTGGTGTTTGTGTGTACTGCAGGGAGGGTGTTAGATTTTCTGTCATGGCTCTAGTCCTCACGCACGTGTTGTGAATTGAAATATTTGAAAAACTCCTCTGACACACACTCTACTCTGAGCCATCTTGTCTGCCCCCCTTCCCTTGGAGGCCCAGGGAAGGGCCTCAGTAGTTCTGCTCTTTCGGGCCGGTCACCCCTTCAGTTGCTCTACCTGTCAGTGCCTTCTGCACCCAGAGCTTGGACAGGAAGTGGAAAATTCCCAGCTCTCTCTCTCTCTGACTCCCTTCCTGGCGACAAGGCCTCCTGCAAGGGTCACCTTGGACTGAGTGTTGATCCCCCTTCAGAGAAACAATTTGGAGTGACAGCCAAGAGGGAGGGCCCACAGGGAACAGCAGAGCATGAAATTTAGTATGGTGGGGTCGTGGCTCAAAGGGTCTCAGCGGGAGCCGGGGGCGGGGGGGGGCGGGGGGGGGCGAGGTCTAGAGCTAGTGATCCTGTTGCAGAGGGGGAAGGTGGAGGGCTGCTCAGGCTGGCTGCAGTGGGTGGTGGGCCACAGGATAAGGCCGGATTATGGCAGAGAGAGCCTTGGAGGATGGGACAGGGTGAGAAAGCCTATTCAGGTCCTGGGCCACCAGAGGGGCTTGAGAGAAATGCCAGGTTCTGGGACCAAGAGCTGGGTGTCCTGGGGCCAGCTGGGAGCTTGGCCCTGGGGTCATTGAGCCAGACTTGAGTCGCCCTCTGGTGGCCATTTAACAAACTTCATCCAGACCGGCTCCAGGCTTGGCTGATTCCCTTTTCTCCCCCTCCCAGCAATCTACAAAGACCCTGCCCCTCTTTCCAGTGTCTTATTTCCAGACTCATCTTCCTCTCCTTAACACCTTGGCCCCCTCCACAACCCCAGACCCAAAGGCTGTATTTGATTTATAGGGCTCTGGTCTTGTTTCCGTTGCCATGGTAACTATTCCCATTCCTCCTCTCCTTCATGGTGGGAGGTGGGGGATCTTCTCTGTCTCAGGTCCCAAAGGTCGCCCTTGATGTGGACTTCATGTTTGGGAAGCACATCAGAGCCTCGCCCCCCCCTTCCCACTCAAATCTTCCTTTCTTGAGACCTCAAGGGAGGTCAGTGTTAGCCCAGAGCTGGCAGGAGGGGGTCAGAGGTGGGGAGAGGCTTCCTAGGACTCTTTCTCACCTTCACGCCTCCCCACATCCTAGGCCTTTTGTCTCCCAGCCCCTCCCCTGACCTGGGGCCACCAGTTGACTTCTCTCTAGCCCCCCCTCCCCTCCACTATGGGATTGGTGCCAGGGTGAAAAGGGGACACTGGCACAGATCGAGTGTGTCTGGGAATTCCCGCCCACTATGGAGCCAAGGGAGGGGGTCCCCGTGTCTCTGAGGAGCCAATAGCAGCCAGGCCTTGCCCTGGGGGGGGAGGCGTGGTGTATATCTTTCAGGCCAGCACCCTGTAGGCCCTGTCTCCACTCTGCCTGCCTGGAACCAGCCAGTCCCCTCTCTGCCCGGGGGGCTCTGAGCCCCCCAGGCACTCCCTCTGATACAGCCCTCTCCTTCTGGGGGGGGTCTTAAGGACCCTTGCCCTTCAGGTATGGCCCAGCCTGGGGTTTCTGTCAAGTCCCTAGTGTCATCTTACGAGACACGAGTAGTGGGGATGGCTCCGGGGCCGCCCCGAAAAAGGGGCTGTGTCTCCTCTCCATGCTCCCCACGGGGAGCATCCCCCATCCGAGGGGCACCTGGACCAACACCCCACCGGGGCCTGGGGGGACCTGGGCAGCGGCCTTCACCCCGCCGGGGGATGGACAAAAGCCTCCTCCCCTTGATTCTCTACTGTCACAGGTACAAGGGCTGTGGGCTACAGTCTGCTATAGCTGGGTTTGAGGAGGAGGCTGTGTGTGGCCTGCTCCAGGGAAGGCAGTGGGCTGGGCTGCCTGGACACCTGGCTCCTCCTCCTCACGTCTCACCTCCATGTCTCTCCAGTGGCTCCGGAAGCCTGGTTGGCATTGACAACAAGATCGAACAAGCCATGGTAAGAGAAGACATCTTGGTCCCAAGTGGTCCCTCTGTCCACCTCCACTCACCTCTACTTGGAAATACTAAATTGCACTCCTCTACTTGCTCCCTTAGCCCCTGGCCCCCATCCCTATCTTTAAGCCCTGCCCCTGTCCCATATCCTTGCATCCTCCCTCCATGTCCCTTCCTCCTTTGGATGCAAAGGAATCTCTCACAACTCCCTCAAGGTACTGGGCAGAGGATGTGGGTTGGGTTGGGTTGGCCTGGCAACCCTGACACTTTGCCTGTCCCTGGGTCCCTAGGACTTGGTGAAGTCCCACCTCATGTTTGCGGTCCGGGAGGAGGTAGAGGTGCTAAAGGAGCAGATCCGGGACCTGGCGGAGCGGAACGCTGCATTAGAGCAGGAGAATGGACTGCTGCGTGCACTGGCCAGCCCAGAGCAGCTGGCCCAGCTGCCTTCCTCGGGGCTCCCTCGGCTTGGGCCCCCTGCACCTAATGGGCCCTCTGTCTGAGCCTCCTTTCCCTCACAATGTGCCTTTGGGGGCTTGCCACAGCTGCTGGGCTTTGCACCAGCCGCCTGCCCCCTCTTCCTATGCAGCTTTAATGCCCCCCCACCCTGATCCCTGGGGATGGGAGTTCAAGGCTCAGTATTGGCCTATTCCCCCACCCTACCTGATCTCCCCTAGGCCTTGATGGAGGAAGGAGGTCTCAGAATAGGGTATTAGATGGAGCCCTTTCTCCATGAGGGATCCCAGTCCCACTCCCTCCCTAGGTATCAGTGTTCTGGGACCCCCAGCAGTAGATGGCTTAGAGGAGTTGGAGGCTCCCTGGCAGATACCCACTCCCACCTTGTTCCTTCAAAGTGCCCCTCTCCACTGCCCAGTGGAGGACATATGGACAGTATCTGGAAGTTCTGGGATTCAGGTTGTTATTAAAATAATTATAATTAAAAAATCTGAAGAAACTTGAATTTGAGGTTGGTATATTGGTGCTTGTGATCAAATCTATGTGAGGGCTGGCAGTGTGTGATTCCCTGATGATCCTGTCTGGACAGTGGTGGGTGTAATCACTGTGGTGCAGGCAGTGTGGTCAAGAGAGAAAGGTTCAGCAGCAGGTCCTGGGAAGGGGCAGGCCTGGCAGGCAGAGGAGTGCGGTGGGGGGCAGCATCTACCCACGTGCTGGTGGTAGGGAGAGAAACAATGAGGCCTTTGGTAAATGTGCAGGATCCACCCCCCAGCTTCCCAGCGTGTCCCCTCTGCGGGCTGGATCCGGGTGGCTGCTTGGGGGCGGGGCAGTGGACCCTGAATGGGCCCCTTGTCTCAATGCTGGGTTGCTGGGTGTGGGCCAGGCTCCTCGGGCACATGGTGCCCTCGCCAGGCCTGGCTGGCTGCTACCGTGGCTTCCACCCCCAGCTGGCTGAGGACAGGGCCCTGTGGGTGAGTAGGCTCTTCCTTGGCTGCCTAGGCTCCAGTCCCAAGTGGAAAAAGGCAACCGGGGAGAAGATGCCTCCTAAGGTAGAAGAGAAGCAACAGCAGTTTGAGCCTTAAGGGGGACCCTGGGAACGTGAAGGCTGGCTTTCTGCCTTCCAAGATTTATGACTTTGGGCAAGTTCTCTTTTCTGAATCTTAGATTCCTCATGAGTAGGGTGGCATTGACAATACCTACCTTGAAACTATCCTGAGGATTACATGGTACAATACATGGAAAATGCCTGGGACGCATAAGCACTTGATCTTTTCTCCCCTTGGATCTGGGGCAAGAAGGCCATAAATGATCAGCTCCTAGGGCCCTGGAAGGGCCACGGGGTTGGGGGGGGTTGGGGCCTCAGCCAGGCAGCTCTCACAATGGGCTAGAACTCTCCCTCACTGTAGGTTCTCATCCACTTTGACTCCTCTCCCTGACCCAGGGAGGGGAGGAAAGGCTTGGAACAACAAGTCATTGGGGTGTGTGCTTCCCCCTTGGATTTCCTGCTTCTTCCTCTTTGCTGTGTTTGAAGCTCCTTGGCTCCCATAAGATCCCTCTGCTGGTCGCCACTGGCCTGCAGCCTGTCCCACTCGCCACTCCAAATGCTGGCTTTGCCCCGATTTGGGGCTCTTCATACTGGGAGAGATGGCTGTGGTCGTGAGGTTCTTCAAATGTGTTAGCAACGTTTGGCAAAAGGTGACCTGTTGGGTGAGTTTCACATACTACCTGAGATGAGAATTCTAGTCAATAACCAATAGGTTATCAGACCCTCCCCCCCACCACCACATTGTCCCCCCACTTCTGGCCTCCCTTGACTAAACAAAACAGGGCAAAAAAAGAAAATTATAATCAGAAAAAAATGCTGGGCGCTAGTGGCTCACACCTGTAATCCTAGCTACTCAGGAGGCAGAGATCAGGAGGATTGTGGTTCAAAGCCAGCCTGGGCAAATAGTTCGCAAGACCCTATCTTGAAAAAACCCATCCCAAAAAAAGGGCTAGTGGAGTGGCTCAAGGTGTAGACCCTGAGTTCAAATCCCAGTACTGCAGAGAAAAAAACAGAAAAGGCAGGAGGAAATGAAGGGTAAGAGGATTGGGAAGGAGATTAGGGGAAAGAGACAGAAGATCACCCCAGCTTTGTGTCTTCCTTGCCATTGATTGCTGCCTCTGCCTCTCCCCTCCCTGTCTCTCTTTTGTGTCTTGTTTCTTAGGTTTTCTTCTGGAGACACAAACCTCAGGCAACCATCTTGGAACACTCTGGCTCCAAAAAACATGTGTTGAAGAAAGTAGAGAAAATTCCCATGGAATTTGAGACTTTAAAGTTGGCTGAGTCCCCCAGAGAGGTTCATCTCTCCAAACTGGATGAGTGTGCCCAGCTGCCTGAGCCCTGCATGTTGACCACTGTCATGGACGGGACAGTGGCAGGCCATGAGAGCCGTTCCCTGCTGCAGCTATCTCGGTCGGCCGTCCAGTCGGTCTCCTCGCTGATGTTGTCTGCCTTGCAGTCTGGCTGGCAGATGTGTAGGTTGAAGGTGAGCGCTCTTCCAGCCTACTCAGTCCCTAATGACTCATTCCTTCTTCTGTTCACTTGTCCAACAATTATTTCCTATGCCTCTTCTGTTGCCAGGCACTGAGGAGACAGTGTTGAACAAGGTTACCCAGTCTTTGGGTGGCCACAGACAGGATAATAGGCTTTGTTGACTCTGTATCCTGAGGGGCGTAGTGTGGGAAGGAGAGAGGGGGTCTGTGGGCACCAGGGAGGGGCATAGCATTTAGACCTGGGGAGTCAGGGAATGCCTTCTTAGCAGAAGAGAGAGTGAAACAGAGGCCTAAAGGAATTTGCTCTGCTTGGGGTGATGGGTGTGTTGTTAGGGGAAGGTAGGAAAAGAGGGTGTGTGTTTCATGAATTTGCAGGTGTGTGCAGAGCTGGTCCATGTTGTATGAGAAAGAGTGGAGCAATCCTGGTATCAAGAGTCAGCTTGTACAAGACAGGGTGGATAGTCAAATTGTAGAATTTGAACTTGACTCTAAGAGCAATGGGAGCCCTTGAAGACATTTGAGCAGAGTGACATGATCAGATTTTTACTGAGAAAGTTCACCTGCTCTCCTACATGACCGGTGGGATTGAAAAAATGGTATGGCCACTCTGAAAAAGAATATGACAAGTTTCTTATAAAGCTAAACATGAAATTATTATATCACCCAGCAACTGTACCATTGGGTATTTATTCCAGATAAATGAAATGCTATGTTCACACAAAAATCTATACCGGACAGCTTTATTTGTTATAACCAAAGTCAACCCAAATGGCCTTCAGTGAGTGAATGGTTAAACTGTGATGTGTCCTGTGTTCTGATCTGTTTTCTTTGCTGTAACAAAACGCCTGATAGGAGGTACTTCATAAAGAGTAGAGGTTTGTTTAGCTCACAGTTTTGGAGGCTAAAAGTTCCAAGATCAGGTGGCTCCATATGTTCAGCTTCTGGTAAGAGTGTCACATGGAAGATGTATCACAGTGGCAGGATCGTGTGTGGAAGAGATCACATTGTAAGATAGGAAGCTGGAGGGATTCAGGGGTCAGGCTTACTCTTTTTATAGCAACCCATTCTCTTCTGAACTAACCAGAGTCCCCAGAGAACTATATTAATCCCACTGACCTAATCACCCTACTTCTTAAATGTCCCACCTCCTCCCAACATTGCTACACCAAGCTCCTAGCATATGAACCCTTGGGGGGCACACGTAAACCATATCCAAATCATAGCACCCTAGAATACTAGTCAATCATAAAAAGGGACAAACTGTTGAAACTCGGTGAACTGAAAGGAATTATGACGAGTAAAAACAACCAATCTCAAAAGACGGTATACACTATGATTCCATTTATAGTCTATGATATTCTTGAAATAACAAGGCTATAGAAATGAAGAACACATTGGTGGTTTAGTGATGACTGTCTAGGGGATTTTGAAAGGATAACATGAGAAATCCTTATGATGATGACAATGGTCTAGATTTTTTTTTCTTGGTAGGAGTGGAGTTTGAACACAGGACTTCACACTTGCTACCACTTAAGCCACTCTGCCACCCCCCTTTTCTTGTGTGTTGGGTATTTTGGAGATAGGGTCTTGTGAACTATTTGCCTGGGACTGGCTTTGAACTTGGATCCTCCTGATCTCTGCCTCCTGAGCAGCTGGGATCACAGGTGTGAGCCACTGGCTCTCAGCAGTGGCCTGGATCTTTTGTGGCTGTTGGGGACATGACCCTACACATGTGATAAAATTTTGTAGAATTAAGCATGCATGAGAAAACAAACAAACCAAAAGCATGCATGTACATACATACAACTGAATTCGAGCCAACTAGGGAATTCTGAGTAGGATCAGTGGATTGTACCAATATCAATGTCCTGACGGTATTGGGTTGTAGTATATGTTCCAAGATTTCCCTACTGAGAGACATTGGGTAAAGGGTCCACAGGACTACATTACCAAATCAACTTATTTTGGTCTCAAACAAAGTATGAGTTCGTTAATAATAATAAAAGTTCCCATCTGGGTGCCGATGGCTCACACCTGTAATCCTAGCTACTCAGGAAACAGAGGTTAGGAGGATCATGGTTTGAAGCCAGCCCCAGGCAAAAAGTTCAAGAGACCCTATCTCAAAAAAAACCCATCACAAAAAAGGGCAGGCAGAGTGACTCAAGTTGTAGGCCCTGAGTTCAAACCCCAGCACCACAAAAAAAGAAATTAAAAAAGTTCCCCTGGCTGGAGAATTGAAGAGGGGACAAGAGGAGAGACAAAGCCCGTCACCGGTGGCTCATGCTGTAATCCTAGCTGCAAAGATCAGGAGGATTGCAGATCAAAACCAGCCCTGGTCAAGTAGTTTCTGAGACCCTATCTCAAAGAAACCCATCACAAAACAGGGCTGTCTGAGTGGCTCAAGTGGTAAAAGTGTGTGCCCAGCAAACATGAGGCCTTGAGTTCAAATGCCAGTGCTGCCAAAAAAATAAATAAATAAAAATAAAAATTTTTTTTTAAATGGAGGGACAAAATCCTTGATCCATTGAAGGCTTGGCACAGTCCAGGCTCTGAGAAAAGAACGTTCTGGATTTGGAAAGAAGCAATAGGTAGAACAAGTGAGCAATACTTAGGAGTAGAGTTGTTGAGCCAGGTGGCTGATTGGATGGAAGTCTTGGGAGAGAGGAAGAAGCAGATTGGAAACAGTCACTGTGATGGGAAATGGAGGAGGGAGAAAGTGACAAGTTTAGGACACTGGACGAGATGAGGTCTTGGTAAGACATGGAAGTGTCCTGGAGACTGTGGGCTCAGCCCTGGAGGTCAGGGCTGAGCTCTAGGCCAGAGACAGAGATCAGGGTGTCACTCTATCCTCTTTCATTTTAACACACTCAGCTCAAAGATGGGTCTGACTTTGCAGCTGTTTTCTAAGAGTTGTATTTAGAACACATGGTGTACGAAATATGGTATGATGGGTCAAATACAAGAGTAGAGAGGATAAACACTTACTGCAGGCTGAGAAGGCTTCTTGGAGGAGGTGGTATCTGAGCCAGTCTGATGGTAGAGGTGGAATGAGCCAAACTCTTTTCTATTTGTCTGTAGGTTGTTCCACCCGTGTTTTCTCCCTAGATCCAGTTATTTTGCATGCACACATCATCTCTTTCTTTTGCAGTCATCTTCTGTGAGTTCTGCCTCCATTACCTCTCAGATGAGGACCCGGTCCCCACTGGATACGCCAGAGGCTGAGATGCTACGGGAAGTGTATCTGGTGCTGTGGGCCATTCGAAAACAACTACGACAGCTGGCTCGCAGACAGGAGAGGCGCAGGCGACACCATATTCAGACCCACGCTTCCCCCCAGCCTGACCCAGTGCAAGGCCTGCAACAGGATGCCCGAAGTCCACTCTAGGGGGGAGGGAGCCCCAGATCCTCAGAAAGTCCTACCTCACTCTTAGGTAAGGTTGATAGGAAGGGGTCAGGGCAACAGGCCAGAAGTTGTGGATTAGGAGGCATTTTCATACTGTCCCCTCTCATCGGGAGCCCAAGGCCGGGTCTGGGGTCCCCCATACTCCCCTTTATAATGTTTATTCAATTTGTAAAAAAAAAAAATTTATCAAGATATTGAGAAATAAATATCAGATATTTCTGAATAGATGGAGAGTTTGCTTGTGAATGGAAGAAGCAGTTAAGAGGAGCTTTGGTGGACCAGGAAGGGAAAAATATGTGTAGGGTTATCTGTTGCAGAGAGCAGAGATGGACAGGTTGCCTGCCCTAGACCCCTACACCCTTCTAGGAGCTGAATTGCTTCTGGCAACAATGCCTGATCTATAACCATAGCAATAACAGTCAATCATTAAAGCAGGTTGCTCTCTCCTGCAATTCCACAAGAAAGGTATTTAGAGCCGACTATGAAATCTTCCAAGGCTCTACAGCCAAGGAGACCTCACTGGAAACTCCCTGCTCAGAGACCCCTACACCTTGCCTCTAGTGCTCTTGGCTTGACCATGGATGTGGCTCCTGAAGGTGATCCCAATATCCATGCCCTATGGAGAGCCAGGAGAACTACATCTCCCAGGATGCTTTGTGGCCGCATGGGCTCTGAGCAGGAGCTCTACAATGGCAAACCAGGCTAGGCTGGGGAGGTTAGGTAGAGCCACAGCTGGCTAGCAGGGATGCGGGGATGGGAGGTCTAGCATGCTGCTGGGGAATCGAGGTCATGGCAATTTGGAAAGAGGTTGTAAGTCAAATTTTTTTTTTTTTTGGTAAAACTGAAGGTTGAACTCAGGGTCATGTGCTTGCTAGGCAGATGCTCTACCACTTGAGCCACTCAACCAGCCCAAGAGAGAGGTTTCGTATTTGGGAGACCCTGGAGCCTAAAGTCCTCTCGCCTGCCCTCTGATCTGACAGCAAAAAGGTGCAGAGGTGGCTCCCCAAGGAAAAGCAGGGATATTTCAGTGGATAGCAAATTTTGGGGAATTTGGGGGTTCACAGGGCTTGGGGATGGCAGCAGACCCAAAAGCTGGGAACGGTCGATTCCTGGGAAGAGAAGAGGTAAGGACCTGGGAGGATCCTGACAGCTGTGGTTGATATTCAAGAAAATTCAAGTTGATATTCAAGTTGATATTCAAGAAAATTACTTGTGAGTTGCAGGCACTGGGTTGAGCACAGCAAGGGGGCAGTGAGGAGGAACAGGGAGGGATGGTTTGCTGGAAGTCACTGGAAACTTCAGCCACCCCCTTATCTCCGACACACACCTGACACACACCTACTCTGCAGCTCTGGGAGGGTTTGGTCCCATTGTGGAGATCTGGGCAGCCTTTCTGAAATCAGGACACCCCCCCCCACACACCAGCAGTTTACTCTCCTGAGTCTGTTAGCTGCCTACTGCATCTCCATACTTACAGCCACAGTACTGTTACCCACCACTTCCTAAGCATTCACTGTGACTACGTTTGTAAATTTTATTCTAAGAAGTTCTCACAAGAGTTTTAGGAAGTATTGTCATCTCCTGTCTTTGTTTTGGTTTTGGGATTTTTTGGGTTTTTTGGCAGGACTGGGGTTTGAACTCAGTTCTTCACACTTGTTAGATAGGTATTCTACCTCTTGAACCACTCTGCCAGCCTTTTTTGTTTCTGTTGTATATTTTTGAGAACAAGTATTGGGTTTTGCCTGGATGGCCTACAAACCACAGTCCTCCTGATCTCTACCTCCTGAGTTGCTAGGATTACAAGGTGTGAAACCTTACCTGGTTCCTCCCCACCCCCCACCTTGGGGAGGAACCCTGGGATGGAACCCGGGGTCTTGTGCATTCTAGACAAACACTCTACCCCTGAGCCACACCCCCAGCTCTATCACTTCCATTTTTAGAAGGGAACACTACAGGACAGAAAGGCCATATTTAAGACCATGTAGGGTGGAAAAAAAATAAAAATAAGGCCCTGTAGCTTTCATTCCTCCAGCTCTTCCAGCTCTTCAGGATGTGGTACAAGTGGCAGGTGTGAGATGAGTGAGATGGCTTTGCTGAAATCAGTTCTCAGTACAGCCTACGGTCAAAGCCTGTTTTCAGGTGTAGCCTCAAAGCAGATGGATGCCCAGTGATTCAGTTTTGGAACTTCCAATCACCAGTCATTAGTCATGTCTCCATTGTGTGCCAGGAACCATTCTGGAGCCATTGGTGACAGGTCCGTGTCCAGGAAGCCTTAACATTTAACAGATCCCAGGGCTTTGCAGTTGTATCCCACCTTTGAGATCCAAAATCAGTCTTCAAGTTTAGCAAAGGGCTCCTCTTCACTAAGGACCTGAGGGTGGGGAAGGGTGAAAAGTGACTCTTGAGGTTACTGGTAAATAGCATTGCAGGTAGTCACAGGCCAGGAGCCATCAGGCATGAGGCCGTGCCTCATGGAAGAAAATACTGCTTTCATTTTTCCTTGACTTCAACATCACAGGAGTGGGAGGTGGAAGGAAGGTGAGGTCAGCCAGCAGTCACAGGAGCCACTGGCACATCCCACCTCTCTCCTTCCCCTACCTGGAGTCCTGTTTGGGCTTGGCGAAGCAAGTGAGGGGAGACTTGTGCAAGGGAAGAGGCGGGGTGGAAGCAAGCAGTACACAGAACTTACTTTTCTCATTCTACCTGGTTGGCTTCCTTCCTGACACATCTTAAGGAATCTAGCTCAGAGCTTTGGAGGACTGTTCTTTGGAGAAACTGCCCAACGGGAGGAAAGCATGTGGGGTCTCCTGGGGTGGGAGGAGAAGAGCAGAGGACAGAGTGACTCCTGGGATAGAAGGAAGTTGTCTCTGGATAACCATAGGGCAAAAATACCACCTTGAACAACTTTCCCTCCCATCTTCCTTAGACCCAGATACATCCCCTCCCTCAGGCTTTTTTTTTTTTTTTTCTGTTTATTCATAAGTGCATATATTGCCTCAAGGCTATTTGACTCCATGACGCAGGAGTGAAGGTTACAGGTGGGCTTGGCTGGGACCAGGGTTGATCCTATTCTTTCTTTCCTTCCTTCCCTCCCTTTTTTTTCCTTTCTTTTTTCTTGTATTGGGGTTTGAACTCAGAGCCTCACACTTGCTAGGGAAGCACTCTCACTTGAGCCATGCCCAGAGTCCTTTTTGCTTTAGGTTATTTTTTAGGTAGGCACCCGGGGATTGTAAAGGAAGGCTTGCTTGTTTTGTTTTTTTGAGAGTGGGTCTCCCTATAAAGCTCAGGCTGGCTTCCAGCTCACAATCCTCCTGCCTCAGGTTCCCAAGTTCTAGGATTCCTGGGATGAGCCATCACACCTGGCAAAGGAAGTGTTCTTAGGCCTGATTGCCTGATGGTAACTACCACAGAAGACTGACAGAACCACAAACGTGCACAGAGGCCATCGGGGGACCTTATACAAAAACATCTACAAGGCCATCTGCTCAACAACTGTCTGTTCAACCTCAGACCAACCCCATCACTCTTGTTATTGATCACTGTGGTCCAGGACTGTTGTTTCAAAATATCTAACGTTCTCTTTCTCGTTTTTTGTTTTTAAAAACTTCCCCTTGCCTCAACCTCTTTGAATATTCCCATAGTTTACTATGGCACATGTATTTCAGTTGCAATGCTCTACTTTCCCCCAATAAATATCAGTATGTTTTGGAGACTCTCTTTGATTTGTAAATTTAGGTTGACAAAGAATATATTTGGGAGGCAGAGGTGAAACACAGTAATAAAGAGCAAAGGAAATTATTGAAAGTAACACTTCCTGGATATGCAAACTTAGGTAAGTGAGTTAATTTTTCTGAGGTTCAGAGTTGTCATACCTGTACCACAAGGTTATCATGGGGCTCAGAGGAGACGCAACAAAAGGGCTCAATAAATGTTAGCTGCTTCCAATAGGATAATGGGTATGACTTGTGGTCTGTGATTACTTTCCCCAAGGCCTAAAATCAATGAAGAATGAATTGAAAGTGTATAAATTTTCACCTAGTGTGTGGGAAGCAACCCAACAGCTGTCTTGTGGAGGAGCCGCCATTTTGGAAGAGATAACTATAGGGTGTGGTGGGAAGAACACTTGACAGAGGCAAGAGACCTGAGTTCTGGTGTCAGTATTGCCACTGCTTTGCTGTATGACTTGCCAATAATCACTTTCCTCTCCTGGGCCTCAGGCTCTGCTCCCTTAGCTTCCACAGCCTCCAGTTTGGGCCTATGTTCTGTTTTCTACTGCATATTCCTCAGAGTTTGGGAACACATGGGCACCTACAATTTCCTCAATGTCCAAAGTGAGTTGCTTTTTGAGGTTGCCCACCCCAGCAAAACATTCTATGTTGAAGCCTTTAAGCAGTTCCTCTTCCCCTTCCCAGAGACAAAGCCCCAGCCTAGGATACCAGGTCTTTCTACTCATATCTCTTCCTCTCCTTCAATCTCATTCAGTTTAATATTTGAACCCTGGGTGGGGAGAGGCATCCCTAAATCCCATAGTGGGCTGCACTCATGTGAGGAGCACTTTCCATCATCCCAGGTGAGCACTGACTGGAAGGCCTTAGCCTCAGACTTACTCTCAGGGTGTGTGTATAGCTGGCTGTATACAGGTACAAGTGCCTGTCTATATATATATATTTGGTGGCACTGGGGTTTGAACTCAGGGCCTACACCTTGAGCCAGTCCACCAGCCCTTTTTAGTGATGGGCTTTTTTGAGATAGGGTTTTATGAACTATTTGCCTGGGTTGGGTTCGAACTGCAGTCCTCCTGATCTCTGCCTCCTGAGTAGCTAGGATTACAGGCGTGAGTCACCGCATCTGGCCTTTTTTTCTTTTCTCCATATTTTGACTTGTTCCCAATTTCCTCCCAGATATGACTGAGATTAATTACGTTATAGAATTGAAAGGCTGACATCCTCTACTTAGTAAGTTTCTGCAGGAAGAAGTTACTTGTCACAAGAGGCATCACTTGTCACAAGAGCCCAGGAAGCTGGGCTAGCTTTCTTCATCTGCACTGCCCTCCCCCACCCAACACATACACCAGATGTAACCATGTCTACAAGGGGGTATGGGCAGTTGGGTGGGCTCAAAGGCCTGGGATTGGGCTTGCTGGTGGCCACATGTTGGGTCCTTTGTTTCCTGGATCATGACAACCATATCTGCCAATGCTGTCTCTCTCTCCTTCTGGAGCTGGTTGACTTCTCCTTGCCCCAGCCTGGGATGCTGGGCAGGCAACCTGCAAGACTTCCAAGCGGAGAGGCACTACAGTAGGGGATCACCTGGTCTCTCATCAGTCATGTTTGTTTGCTTCAGAAGCTGTGCCCATCTGTCCCACACCTGTCAGTCCCCACACCTGGCATGCTCAAGTGTGCCTCCCTACTACAACTAGACATAGACTTCCTTCCTTCTTTTCTTCCTTCCTTCCAACTTCCTTCCTCCTTCCTAAACTTCCTTCCTTTTTTCCCTCCCTCTCTCCCCTCCCTCCTCTCTCCCTTCCTCCCTTTCTTCCTCCTCCATCTTTCCCTCCTCCCTACTCTCTTTTTTAAAGGGTCTGACTGTAGCCCAGGCTGGCCTTGAACCCTCTATCCCCTGCCTCAGCCTCTCACTGCACTGCCATGCCTAGCTTCAAGCATAGACTTGTGCCCGCCTCCCTTCTTTCCCAGTGCCTCCTGGGGACCAGCGGCTGCAGTGGGGCAGGTTTGGAAAGGTGGAGCTTGATCTTTTGGTTGTGGTAAGGAGCTTTACACTGACCCAGCTGGGGTGTGGCAGTGACTGATTTGCCCAGTCTGCAGCAGGGAGACAGAGAGGCATGTGTCACCATTTTACTTCTCTCTTCTGCTCTAAGTTTAAGAGACAGTTGTTTTTCTTTTACTGTCCAAATGCTCTGCCTGTTTTTCATTGTTGTGAGCCTTTTCTAAAGATCCACAGAGTTAAAGAGTTGAATGCAAACCGGATGTGGTGATATATGCCTGTAATCCCATCACTTAGGAGGCTGAAGCAGGAGGATCAAGAGTTTGAGGCCATCCTGGGTTACATAGAAAGGCCCTGTCAAATCTAAATAAAAGGAAAAATAGTGCTGAGGATTATAGGCATGGCTTTCTATTAATTTCTAAAGCTGTTTTAACCATTATTTAATGTTATTCACTTACCTATTTTGCTAAGCATATATGTTTTAAATTTTTGTGAGTTTGCAGAAATCTGGTGTAACTTGGAGCATGTTTTTCTGTTGAAGATCTTTTCAGGGCATCCTGAAGCATTTGGGCTGAACTCTAAACTCACCTCAGCTCCTGGTGGGCGTCCCTGCCCCTGGCTAGCAACATCCTTCCTTGCTATCCTCACTTCTACTGCACTTGGCTATTTTATTTTGT